GAGTGGTCTGAGCACTAGTTTACCAATCTTTGCTTTCCAAGACTCTGTGCTGAAGGCTTGAGGGGTTCAATCAATGGTGCTTTGATCTCGGCTGGAACCATAATTATTTAACATTGTTACAAGGATTTCTCTAATCCATCCTACCATTAAATCCCTTTTACACCCTCATCTTCTGCAGCCTAATCTGCATCTGGGTGCTCCGTTTGTCTCTCTCTCTCATTTCAGCTGGCCCCTCCTTCCTTGACAACACCCTGACTTTATATTGGACTTGTGTGCCAAGTTAGAAATGCCTTGTTTATTCAGAGCCACCTGACTGAACAGTGGACAAGAACTTAAAGCTTTTCTCTAGATTTGTACTGGAGCTTTGGTCAGTTCTCTTCATTAGGGGCCAAATGGTGAAAAGCTTCAGCAAGTAAAAAGAAAAAAATATGAACAATATTTTATGAACCTTTGATTGCAATTGAAGGTAAAATGAGCCTAATGAAACCCTATAACCATCCTGATACTGCACCCATCTTAATATTTTCTCATTTTTCTGCTGTTTCTTTGAATGAACCAAGAAACTTTCAAAGTTCAGGTGACTGATGCCCACAAGGTTTAATCCCATCTGTTTATTTTGGTGATCACTTAGGCTACCAACAAAAGGGACCCACTGTCCTTTTGCAAATATTTGCATGCCTGTGTTTCACCATGATATAAATAGCAGCATGGGTAACCACAAACATTTGTTGAGGCACCTGTCATAGTGTCGTGGCCATCTGGTCCTCCAAAGCTCCTAGCATGACATATGTGCATTAAACCTGAAATGGTTATTGTCTTTTTTAACATCTGAGTGAAGCCGCATTTTCAAATTGTGCATGTTTTGAAAAGGGAAGGGAAAAACGAATGCCATTGGTGGTGGTGAGTGGGTGGAGGGTGGTAGTGGTGGGGGCTCCCTTTGTGCTCTGTTTGTGTTTGACCATCAGGTAGAAGCTCCAATGGCCAAATCTTTAGCTGACCCCTGCTTTGCCCTGGCCGAGGCCCAGCTGGCACCAGGAGCTGAGCAAGCTGGCCCGCACTGGCCATCAGGGATGGGCAAGAGAAGAGAACTGTGGGCAAGGTGATCACATCGCTGCTGTTACCTCTATGTCAAGCTAATCTCCTCCTTCAACATCTCTCTTTTCTGTCTGTCTTATTATCTCCTCCAAGGGCAGGGGTATTACCACCGTTTGTTTGTTCACAGCATAACTGAAAAAAGAAAAGAATGGATTTGTTTGGATTTCTTGGAGAGGTAGGGTATGGCCCATGGAACAATTGATTCAAATTTGGTGCTAATCTCGCTCATCATCAACTGGATTCAGGAGTTTTTTAAAGGATTCTTCAGCCCTGTGCATGCTGGAAAGGTTGTTGACTGTATGTGAACCCCCTTGTGGTGAAAGTGCACGGCTGTGCTGCTCAGCACTTGGAGTGAAGATGAGTTGAGCTAATACTGTAAGCATAGTAGGATGCATTTTGGAAAATGGACTCTAAAGTGGACTGACATGCAGCCAATTGGAGTGAGTTGTGTGTGTCTATGAAAGACAAAGTACACATTGTTATGTCAGTCTGCATGGGTCGGGCATTTAGTAATCACTCATGTTTATCGTTTCTCTCAAATAACTTTCAAACAAATAATGATATCAGTATCGTTACAAATGCCATGGGTTCATGCTCAAGGATTCATATTATGAGGGTCAAAATATCATGAGAATATTGCTTTCAGGTGTAATGACACTATGGGAAACTGAACTGTCTTGGTGGAGGTTTGTGTGTTAAGACTTTAGCAGCAAACAGACTAGGTTGCTCTACAAAGACACTTTTTCATAAATGTTAAAATGTTTTTATTATATACTAAGCTTTATCTAATTGATTTTTGTACATCAAACTCCTGAAATAAAGATTACATGAACTGGATTGAAAATATCAATCATTCTTTCTTATTGTTTTAAATGTTGCATCTAATGTTCTACGAATTAAACGAGGCACTCCAACAACTTACTACTGCACAATCATAAAGATGGGGGACAGATTTCACACAAGAGTGGTCAAATGGCCAGTGATACACTTGCTTTCACAGGCTGAGTATTATCTTTGTGACGAGTAAGTTGACTGCTCCATGTAAACTCAGATCATGGCCCTTTAATAATATTTATTTCTGTGAATTCAAGTTTCCACTGTGGTGGATAATAAAATTGCATAGTATTCTGTGAGAAACCGTTGTGAAAAACTGAAAAGCCTGAAACTCTGGCTAATACTGGTACTAATAAACACAATTCATGCAGAGTATATTCACCTGTGCATGCTGTTTTATATACTTTAAATTCAGGTAAAGGGCTTTGGAATCAATGTAGTATTAATCAATAACACAACAAACAGGTTGAGTGGCTTTAAACAGTAAACTAAACTTAATGTGTCACATCTGAAAAGTTCCTGTATATACATATATATATATATGTCAGAGTTGGTAGATTATAGTTTTAAGCAGGGATTTTAAGCAGAAATAACTGTGATCACAGTTACAGTGCTCTTGACAAACCCTGGAATCCCATGACTTTCATAGGGGGGTGTGGTTTACATGAGCAAGTACTTACAGTAGATAAGGCTGAGAATAGGTTCATTAGCAGAGTTAGCTAACTAACTAACACTGTTCTCAATTAGCCTAGAGGAGAGTGAATGGGAGAGAATGAGTGAGTCAGATTCCTATCAGCACTAGTCCACAAAAATGAAGAGAATAGCATATCTCCCAAATCAGCGGCTGATTGCGAAGCCTCTGTGACGAGAAATGAACACGAGACAGAAGATCAGTGTGCAGATTTGCTTGAGGACATACTTGTAGAGATGAGGGGAGAGAATGGGAACTCGCTGGGTGTTCCACATCAGAGACCCAGCACTCTGAACAACAGAGAAGAGCCAGTATCAGATTAATAGTGAGTCATTCAGCAGAGTTCTCTGCTGTTCCAGACAGAAAGACAATCAGAGAACAGGGGGCAATTGCGGACAGCACTTGACATGAGTTGTTAAAGTGGAGATGAAATGTGGGGACAAAAAAAAGTTCAATTACAGGATGTAGATTGTAAAGGCTTTTGTTGTTACTCAGCAAAAGGGAAACGGTATGGAGGTGCTTCAATCGACTCACCAAAGCAGGTGGGCATGTTCTGAGTTAGCCCACCTCATTAAAAGACTTCACTCTCTTTTTATGCAACGGCCATTACACTTCCTATTCAGATGCACACGCGCAGTGATTAAAAATTATCTGTTGGTGATCATAATCACACCTGCTTAAACTTAAGCCAAAGAATAACAAAGAACTTTTGAATGCTGAACATTTACAAAGAGATTAAAGGGTAGACAGTCTCAAACTAAATAAATTTGCTTTTAATCGCTTTGAACAGGAAGTCATGTCATTTCAAATGTTCCTATCTGATTGTCTGATTCCCCTCTTTAGTCAAATTACAACATGCCCATCTGACTTTTCCAGCACAATGGGAAAAATTAAAAAGGGAAATGACCTTTCATGGCAGCCATGATCGGAGAGTGAATGGCATTATTATGCACCAAGATTAATTTCTGCCCACTTTATGCTGCCCATTGAGAAAACAGAGGAGGGGCACAAATGCCTCTGTCTAAGTCACTCACTAATTGGCTGATATATCACAGAGATGTTCAGAAACTTACATAAGTGATGAAATGTTGATTATGAATGTGTTATTTTTTGTTGATAATCCTGGCTGCCAAGATCAAGCTTGTGCGCACAGTGCACATATCAAAGCGTGGTTATTTGAGTTGGATGCAGCCATGTGCTAAGTGCCTTTTTTTTTGGTCTGTAATACAGCAGAGATTAGGATGCAGTGTTGAAGTTCTCAAACTGGATGTCACATGATATCCACTCAGGCTGTGGTTTAGTAAAACATGAAATGTGCATCATTTCTCATATCACCTCCCCTGCAGTTCAGCCATCCTCACTGTACACAAGAGACACTTTACTCCCACAACTCAAGTCTCCCTCTGCTCCGCTAATTCTCATTCTGATGGCTAGGTGGAAGGGGGAACCATAATTACAGTCAGTCATACATCTACTCATGCTACATCCATCCCTCCTTTTCAAAGCAGTATTTTTAAACTCAGCATTTTCTCGGCAAAAAAGGCCTTTTTTGTTGCATACGATGCTGTCTTTTTGTCATGGCCCGCATAGTTCTGAGCTGACCCCTTCAGCCCTGTCTCCTGACTGATCACAGTGATGGTTTATTACTGTCGTCCCAGCGCTCTTATCTTTAGCCAGCAATGCTCATTTCCTTCCCCAGATTTAAATGCAAATGTGAAATTTAATGATAAATGTATTATCTGATAGGTGCGATAACACTGATTCACTGTCAGTATAAAATACACACCCCAGGGGGCTTCAAGCTAGCAAGCACAGTTTGCCCAAATCCACATTCCTCTCTGTGTGTCTCTCTTCCTCTCACTCTTTTTCCTTCTTTTTTTACAAACTCGTGTACCTGCAATAAATTTTCGAGGTCATTTTATGCACTGAAAGGAGTCACATTTTGTGTGTTCAGCAGTGTGGGTGCAGGCTATTGCCAAGCAGTAATTGCTGTGCAACTTCTTCAGTGTATTATCCATCACTTTGATGAAGTTAGTTTTAGCCAAAGGGCAAAACAAGATAAAAAATAAACTCTCAAATAAGCAACATTTGCATTGCTTTATAAGATTCTTTCAAAAAACACATAAAAAGGTTTTTATGGGTAAACTATTGTTGGTAATATTAACTGAATGGTGGTGTACATACAGTTAGAGTAGATTGTTATATTGCAGGCAGACTTCTGACTCATTTGTTAATCTACAGAAGGGTGTACAAATATCCTGTTGTTCCTTTTCCACTCAGTGTCAGACTCAGTACCTTACTTTTCCAAACACGGATACAATAACTTTGCCTGCTGGTCCTTGGAGACCAACTAGGAAAGTGATATGAGGACTTTTCTTACTTGGACCATCCCACTCATCCGGTACCACTGCAGCATGCCTGGTCTTCTCGCCCTGTCCATCCATTTCTGACTCTCCTGGTTCTCGGCTTCCATCTTCCTCTCCTGCAAAGCAGAAAAGAGTCAGCCCTCTAAAGCACACAAGACGCAAAGTGAGCAGCACTTAAGCCACATGTAAAGTTCAGGCACCTAATTTAATTAAGCACTGCGATATGGGCTGTGCTCCCCTTCCAAAGGATAGAATCTGATGGACCTTACATATTATCCCAGCACAAACCATTTCACTTTTATAACTTGTTCCTTTAATATTCTATTCTAATATTATGTGAGGTATTGTCATTGGATGTTTTTGTGTGTATATAGGTCTGTATGCACTATGTGCATTTGTTATGAGCTCACCAGCTCCAGCTGCACAGCTTTTTGTAAAAAGATTTCCCATGAGTGCTTGCAGGAACAGGAGGAAGCCACATGGAACAGGAAGGAAAGCAATGTGTGGGAGAGAGGTGGCTATTTATTACCGCTTGATCTATTGTGGAGGGAGCTAGAATGTGTGTTATAGGATGTAGGGCTGATTTACAGTCTCAGGGGCTCACACAGACCATGCTAAGGGATATTTAGGTATCTCTCCGCAGGATGTAAGTGCTAAAATACCTTGTTAAACAGACTCCACCTCTGAGCATGCAACCATAACACTGACGGGAAGGTTTGTTGATCATTCTTAGATGCACTTAATGGAAAAAACTTCTAGCTTTGCATGTCTACAGTAAGCACAGCTTGTACTAAAAGTTTATAGGCACATGGATTTGTGCTTAGTAGGTTCCCCTAGTGTTGTGCTTTAAATAAATCTAAAATGGCAGACACAGTGATTGCACAAAGTTTCTCTCCAAAGTCAGGCAAACCTGCTCAGGGCATGCAGTTGGTAGATGATAGTTTGTGGAGGAACATTTCTCTCACATTGTCACCATATCATTTTCAACCCTTTGATGTTTAAAATCTAATAGCGAATGGTCAAGGACAGACCTGAGTTACTACAATGGATTACTACGCTTCATACACTTTACAAGAAAAGAGGGAAAGATGTGTAGAATTATACAGTATATGATTTTTTTAAACAAATTTGTGAAGATGTGAAGACATGAAAATTTATACCTATCACCAAAACCATAACCAAATATAAGACACAGAGTACATGTCATGAGGTTATGTACTACATCTGTATCTGACCCCGCACCCTCCAACACACACACACAGCCTCCAAAAAACATTTCAGAGTGTTAGTTATCACATTTCTAGTGACAACTGCCAGGAGACACACACTACTTCACCCCAGTGATGTCTGTCCTCGGTTAAGCTAATCTCCAGATCAAGCACACACACACACACACACACACACACACACACACACACACACACACACACACACACACATCATGCTTGTTTAGCATTTTTTGACATGGTTCAGTTCAAAGAAGGTAGCAAACATTGCCAAAAGGGTGTCAGCTTTCTGGTGTACACTAAAAGAGGAGATGTATGTGTAGGAAAACGTGATACTGAAGGAAAGTCTGCAGAAATGTCCTACTTACAGTACATGAGGTCATTATGACCCAGTTTTGCTTATGCAAGTGTCTGCTTGGGCTGATGCTTTCTCCCCCCACTCCTCCTCTCTTCCAGTATTTTATCAGGAAGCTCGCTCAAATAAATTCCCCTAGTATTTATTGTTGGGCCTGGAGAACCTCTTTAACATACTAGGCTCGTATTATGACGAGGATAACAAAGGCGTATATCAACAGTTCCTTCCAATGGAGCGGAGTTTAAAAAAAGCTGGCGAGATAACATTAAAGGCACTACCTTGATCTCAGGCGAACATGTTAAGCCCTGTAACGAAACGTATTGGAAGTGTTTAATTACACCCCGGGAAATGAAGCTACAAGATGATTCCTTAATTAAGCAGTGATTAAGGATTTTCTGCCTTCTATCTAACACAGTTTGCAATGCATTTTAAACACAATCGCCCAGGCAACCACACAAGAAACAATGTCACAGGGCTTTGATGAAGTTTCCTGCACAAATATCACTAGGAAAAAGCCAAGCAGAGGAAGAAGTGCTGGAGCAGCACTCCTCTGCTTACAGTACAGTTTGATTATACCTGGAATGCAAGGAATATAGAGAGCTTTTTATGGTTTTATATGACACATGAATTTTGATATTTCTAATGAAGAAATAGTCACACTGTAAGAGTACCACTATAACTAACAGAGCCTTTATCTTGTTTCATCATTTGAAATAAAACCCTCTGCAGTCTTATTAAGGGAGACAGATCATTAATAATCATCCTCTACATTATTGCCTGGATCATAATTTACATCTGGCTTGGTTTCCACTCCCTGCACAATCAAACGGAGATACTTAAGGCTGAGTGAGAGAAGGCTGAAGAGAACAGACGGGACAGGGTGGGCTGGGAAGGCATGGCGGCCTGCTGGGTGCATGGTTGGCGGGCATGCAAGAGGAGCCAGTGAGCTGTTAAAATCAGCCCTATCGCTGCTCTATCAAAGGACAGCTCTCTAGCCAAATCACAGTCACATGCAGCGTGCCACACATTCAGGTCAATAAGCTTATAGGCACTTTACACAAACAATTCCTCGAGCAAGGTAGCAACAAAGTCATATTGGCTTTTCCTCTCCCTTTTAGCATTGTCTCTGCCAAGGAAGCCCTTGAAAATGTCAATCTCTTGTATGTGACTTTAAGCAGCTCAGAGTGCTCTAATCCTGACCACTGAGGCTAGAGATAGGTCACAATTTCTGCAAAATGGAGTCTAAGTATTTTTAAGTCTTCATCTGGGTTTGCACAGTTCTATATGCTACTGACATGATGGCTTGATGACTTTAACCCACTTCCACTTTTCTAAACCCATTGCAGTCTTGCTAGAGCTGGTAATGATTTTCAGAATTTAAAATGTAATACTCAGGGGGTGGGGTTGCCTGCTGTACCCCCAGCAGTGGTGGTGCTACTCAGTTAATATTGCACATTCGGTTGTTGATGCAGATTATGCTGCAACAGATAAAGTCAATTCCAGGAAGCAAGCTTTTTCACCAAAGTCAAGCATAGCTGTAAGAGTTCTCAGCTATCTGAAAAACAGGCTTGAATTGCATAAAATTTGTGGTAGGCAAAGCACTCCAATGGAGGGAGGCTATTAGTGAAATGCCTTGCCACTGTCTCTTTAAATGCCAATAAATTCCCATCATTACAGAATCTGGCAGTTTTCCTCCCTGTCTGCAGCCTGGGTCTTTATCTCACTCTGCCTCAGTCTCTGAGCATGTAGATCTGGCCCAGTTAGATTGTCATACTTAACAAACATTAATGATTAATTTCCTCCACTGAGTCAAATGGGGCTAAAGGGATGACTCGATTCATCTTATCACACCACAAATTAGCATTTCCCCATATTCTCCAGCATCAACTGTGCATTGCAATTCCACATTTACCATTCTGGGCACTGGCAGCTGTGGCGAAAGAACCAAGGAGATCTTCCTCCTCTGTTGCAGGAGATTCTGATTACTTCTGTGTTACACAAAGAGTGGCATAATTAATTCTGCCACTTTCTGTGTGTTAGTGTATGTCTCTGACTGCTGTAAGTCAAAATACCCACTGAGAGGTTATTTGAAGGGTCAAGGTGGGTTTATTATTTGCAGTGTTGAGTCCAGGGTAAGGTGTATGGAACTTTTATGCTTCATCTCCAATGTGACTTCTGTCTGCATTCTTTTTCTATAATTTGAGAAGAACGCTGCAGAAAATGTTCACATTTAATATTCTGACAAATTAACTTTCACAAAAGCATCAGAATCAAACAGTTTGAGCTGAAAAAATCATGTAATGTAACTTCACACAAAGATGTTTTACATATAGAAAATGAGACATATGAAATGGCATGTAAATTTGCTGTCAGAGCTAACTAAGGAAGTCATTTGTCACCAGACAACACTTGGAACAGAAAGGGAACACCCTGTGCTAAACTCCACAGATAGCCAACAGTTGCAGAGGGGCTAAAACAGCAAGGTGACATTTCAGTTTCAGTAGAAAAAAGATGCAGTGTATAAAAGAAAGGCATCTTTAATACAATTACCGATCTATGTGTGTCGATAGCTATGTGTGTGGGTGTGTGTGCGCGCATTTGCTGTGGAATGAGTGTGTTCATCTATGGGCTCTTCACAAACACAGCTCCATAAATGTAAAACTGACCAAGCGGCTGAAGTTCTTTGAGGTAAGATTCTGTTTTAATTACAAATAAAAGCCAAGGTTATTTTTTTAGACATGTGACTTTCTTTCTCTCACAGAGCTCTTGATAGGTAGGCAGACCCCCTCCACTTCTATGTGTATTAAAGCTCCTTCCTTCTCTCTGGGACACTACTATTGTGCCAAGCTGCTTTATTTCACACTTCCTATGCTCTATCAGAGCCATCACATTGAATGTCACAGACAAGGGACTCCTCATACATTTTATGGTGGATGAGTGCTACAGCTGTAACTGTAATAGTTAAAGCCTGCACAATGTGGTGTTGGCTATTCATATTGTTCAGTGGTCCCCAAATTTGGGGTTGATACCACCCCAAAGAGTTACAACATAAATTTGAAGGGCAGTGGTGGAAGTAGTAAAACTGTGCAAGAAATATACTTGAGTAAAATTACATTTGACCATGTCATCATCATTATATGTCGTTATCATAAAGGTATTTTTCACTAAAATATAACAAGTAACAAAAGTAAAAGCATTCATTATGCAGAGTGGACTTTTCAAGGTGTTCTACTGGATACTTAAGTATATTATATTATAATTGCATGCAAACAGCATTCTCATGTTGACGCTGGTGAAACCGAGGCTAACTGTAACTGTCTTATGTGCAGACTATGCATCATTATATATTATTATTATCTGTTAGTCGTGTTTTGAATCTAAAATGTGAACCTGCATTAAGTCATCTAATAAATGTATTGGAAAGACTAGTACAATATTTCTCTCTGAAATTTAGTGGAGCTGAGGGTTAAAACTGTATAAAATGGAAATACTCAAATAAAGTGCTGTACAAGTGGCTGAGAACTGTACTTCAGTAAAATACTTAAGTTAATGTACTTTTGTTGCTTTCCATTGAGGAGGGCTCATGACAAGATTAACTGAAAGCCATATATCTGCAACACAATGATTTTAATTTACTCTACATAAATTCTGCTAAATTTGTTTTTCTGAATTATAGGAGAATTCCATCACTTTTGGCCTCTAAATATTATTTAACAAAACAGGTAATATGAAACCAGTGAAAAGAACCACTGATATGGATCATACAACAGAGTTTTGGTGGAATACGACTCAATGGTATTTCTCCTGGCTGAAGAATTAAATGCACTCGTAGTGTGGCATGTGTGAGATTTGACAACAAATCTTTTTGCAATTTTAAGTTAAAGGCCCCTGTCTGTGATGCCACCATTAATGAGAGGCACCAAAAACCAGTGAGAGCCATGACACCATTAACTAAACAGGTTACTGAGTCAACCATCACCCAGTTTAGAGACTCCCAAGCCTTAGACCAAGATGGGACATCAAGGTGTTCCATGCACTTATCTGGGGAGTCCCTTTTCTGCAAGGGTAAGGCAAATGGCTGAGTCTTTGGTGGCATTCAACTTCTTGACCTTTGCGCCTTTAAGCAGCTTTGCTACTTCACCGCACTCTGATCAAAGTTAATAAGTGCTTCATATGTTAATGAAAATTGGTACTCCTCTTTGTGTTCCTACAGCTTTTTAATACCTATTATAGACTGAAACTTTTAATGGAGGTTTTAGGTCCCCCTGACAAGCCCATTTCAGAGAGTGACTACACAGATACAAGGCTAAGCTAAGACCAGAGAGTCACTGCTCAGTGGAGGAACCTTACACGGGAGACCTTATTCTCCGGGAAGCAGCAGAAGATAAAGGCCATGGGATGAGTGGCTGCTTTAAAATCCACGTTCAAGTCCGCACAGGGCTAATTACAGCGCACCATCACATTTGAGAGGGTTTAGTTAATCAAGGGGGCTCTCTTTTTCCTCCTATAGTCGAGGAATAACACAGTTAAACCATTTAATGCTGCTAGGATTGCGCCATGTTAAATTCAAGGCAGTTTCACATAAGCAGGGTAAATTTAAGCCACTCTGACATTAGTTTTATGTAGATCTAATTGAAGAAGGGATCATGGGCAAAATGGCTACACCTGATGATCGGGTACAACTTGCCGCAAGGAAAAACGAAATATGTATAGTACATCATTTGGGTCTTAGAAAGCAACAGGAGACTTAGCTACTGTAAGCTTAGACAGCAAAGTAACATGTACCAGAAAGGTTATTTTCAACATTTTGGATTCCTATTTAGTGTCGACTATATTCATAAATATGTGGGATGAAAAGAAGATTTGAGGTCCAGTTCAACACATGGTTTTATTCAAAACAAGGAAAATATCTACTCTAACTGCTCTGACAAGGTTCTTTGAAGATTTCAGCAGAAGTTCTAATTTTTTTTCTTGCTGTAACCATCAATGTGTAGTACACCATTTACTTCATAGCTTCTGGGTTATTACAAGACCATACATTGTACTTTGAAGTTGAGTAAGGACACATTAGGAATAAGACAAAGGGTAAAGCAAACGAGGAGTCTCTGGTAATTGCAATTTCTGAACAATTGTGCCGTTCAACTTTTCCCAGAGAACAAAAGGAAAACATTATTGATATGATTACTGGGGCATAGCCCACCTGAAACATGAAAGATTTCTTTTTTCCATAATGTAATCCCACAAGGCACATCAGTTTAGAAGTGTGAAGAAATAATTCTAAACAATTTTCTCTTTGAAAGGAGAAAGAAGAGGCAAACATTCAAAGCACTGGCTCTTCATTAAAAAGTCAAATTATGGCATCCGTGCACCAGGAGGAGTGAGGACACCTGGGGTAGTGAAAACCATGCCACTCGGGGATAGGACGGGGTGGGGTTGACTGGGCGAGTTAGCGAGAGGGAGGTGAAGCTTTCTGTCATCTTCACACTGTAACCTGGAGCAGACCACAAATTAGCTCCTGTGATGGCAAAGTGTGACCCAATTGAAACAAACATACAAAGAAGCAATCTAATTGAATTGGAGTTCAAAGAGGCATTTGGCCGGACCTCCGAGCAGTAGCAGGTGCTGCTGAGTGTCTGCAGAGCTTTAGTGCCCGCTCAGAGGGAAGCATTGGGCTCTCCAGTGCACTGGCGTACTGTCGTGCACCTTCACAGCGCTATGTCAAAAGGAGAGCCAGGGCTGCCAATGCCATCTCTCTCTCAGGTCAAACCACTGTGTGTGGGTGGATTGCTAGGATCAAATATCAAAATAAATACTTTCAGCTAAGGTAGTGATGTGGGAGAAATCCTCATATAAATACAAGTTCTGCTAGCTTTGACTTGAACATGTTAAAGAATGTCATTAGACGCCATCGGCAGGAGGTGAGCTTGTTTTGATGCTTGTAACAAGGGTTACTTAACATATGTGTCTCATATTAGGTATTAAAAAGGGCACTGTACACTGGCTGTGGAAAACAGAGTTTCACTGTAGAATAAGGAAATGATCCTCACCTTTGTTGCAGAAGTACTCCATGTCTTCGCAGCTCATGTTCTCAGTCTCAAACTCGGCAGTGAAGTTCTCCTCCACAGAGAACTCATCTTTGGCCAAGAGCTCGTTCTCCTCAGAGACACACTCCTCCTCCTCTTCCTCCAGGCCATCCTCCAGAGGACCTAAGGGAACACACACACACACACACACACACACACACACACACACAAGGGAGATGTTCAGCAGTTTCATCATACCCTTCAGGCTTTCATAAAAAAAGGTTGCTCTGCTTCTTCTTGTTTTTTTGTTTTTTTTGCAGTACTGCAAATGCAGATGCATAGTACAGCACTGTACTGTCCATATACCTACATGGTCAAACATCGATTATAGAGAAATATAAAACCATGCCAATAAAGGATATTATTTTACCACAATATTTCAAAAAGGTTTTTCCATTACAGCCACTGGAAAAGCCCTTAGAGGCTGTGTGCTTTCTGGAAAAAAAAAGCTGACATGCAGCCAAGGTGAACCTTGATGTTAATCCTGCTACCTGCAAAACAAAGCCTCACACAGACGGAGGTAAGGGGGGAAAAGTTCCTTTCCAGGCATCAGGACGGGAGGGGGAAAGAAAATACTTTTATTAATTTGTTAGCCTTATCACAGGGTACAATGTTGATTTTCCATTTACATTCCATGCCTTGGGGTAATACACCAGTGCAATCTTAAAGGAGACACTTTTCCGTGTGATTAATTTTTCCCCCTTCTGTGCAATATTATTTCTTTAAATCTAAATGATTTCAGAGTTTTGCTTGTAGCTGTACATCTCTTTTGGTATTTGCATATTACTATTTTGCTTCAATCAAGGGCATTGATGGAATTACAGCACTGCTACCTGGATTGTATTAGTACATAAAAATATCTCACCTGGCATTTGAATGTTATTAAGATAATGTGCATCTTGCACAACTCTCCTTCTCACCAAAACATGTCCCCAATGTCTGCACACAGATTACAATAGCAGTGAAGTGATGGAACACAAGTTTAAGGTTAGTTTATATTTGAAATAATACACTCCAAATTAAAATCCTGTGTGGATTTCATAAAATCTCCTTCTCAAGTTGTATTCAAATGGAATAATCATCTCAAAAGTGCTGCCACTGCTGCCTGTTAGATGTGGATGCAGTCTTCATTTCTGCCTGTCACACATGAGCTATGTTGCAGCCCTTTGTGCATCATCTTGGGCCTCAAACGGAGTACACTGATATCCTCTCGACACCTTTCGATGTGTTTGTTCTGTTGTAGCGGGAGTGAGCCCCTCAGCTTTAATAACGCATTAATTTCAGTTGACAAAGTGGAGCTGGTGTGCCGCTCCTGTTTCTCTTTCTTCCCACAGCAAGCCTCATAAAGGACCCCCCTGATGTCCACAAACTGCTTGCTCTTTTCATTAGTCTTATAAATTACTCCTTTGTAGAAGCCTGCATCTGCAGGAGCCACGGACATGAAAAGAATTAGCACAGAGATCTCTAATAGACACTGTGCTGCTTTTAAATTAGGATACAGTTTTACGATCTTATCTGATGCCTTCTGCTGATTCGCTGAGGAGTGAAGTGAGGCGTGAAGTGACTCGATGAGTCTACCATTGCTTAAGATGATACTGAGAGATAAATATCGCAGTATCAAGGGGAGATTCTATGACTGGCGTTAAAAGCTCCTGCCAAGGCAATTGAAGACTGTGAAAGAAAGTGGGGAAATACATTTCTATGTACACACTCTGTACACATTCCATTACACAGCTGAATAAGAACTGTGTGTACAACTGAATGATTCTTCCTCTGTTGCTCGCAAATAAAACAGCACTATTGCACCACAGAAAATAGACCTACAGTGTTGTGCGATAATAAGGGTAAAGGGAGATTAAAGATAAACTTCATGGTCAATAAGACACAAAGATTAGGCAGATAAGATGAGATAGAATTGTGGTTTAATAGACTCAGAATAAGGGCATCTCACTTCCCCACTCTAACAGATAGCAACTAAATGGAGCATTTTCAAAGTAGAGATACTGGAGGCATTGCTAAATATGGAAAAATGAAATACTCCACCCAGTCAGAGACGTTAAAGGGGGTCTGATGGCTACTTCTTGGGGACCACGTAGATTAACAAAGTTTGTTCATATTCTCACATGTTTAGTTTATTATACAGTATTCATTGCATAGAGAGACCTGAAATTATTTCAGAGACAGCAATGATAAGAATAATGACTTTCTAAACGACTATCCACCACACTCCTAACTCATTTTCTGATAGTGGCGTTCCTGCTATATTTAGTTGTGTACTGTTTAAAATCCTGTCACATTCACTGTGTGACCCGCGCTTGTTGGTGCATTTCTATAGGGTCTGCTGACGAAATGGGCCAGAGGAATGTCTGCTGCTTCACCCCATTATCAAGCCTCCTCAGGAGTTCAGATGGCCAATGACACTGTGGAGAGAGCGTCTGAGTTTAACTTGTGCACAGAGTACAGAACAGTATGCTTAAAATGTTGCACTCATTACAACAGCCACAAGAAAGCAGTAAAACTGTGGAACTGTGAACAGAGGCGATCTTAGAGAAGTGACAGCAGACCATGCCACAGTACAAACACTGTCTTGAAAAGCTACTTGGACATCCTTCGGGGGATTCACTGGATGTGGCGTCCCAAACTCTTATACTGTTTACAGAAGGGAAAAAAGAAGCCACCATAAGAGAATCGCTGCTGTTAGATTTTCAAAACCACACAAACACAGAATAATGTACTCTTGAATTGACAAAAATGTATGATGCTCAATCTATTAAGCAATTCATCAAGCAAAAACAGAAATATCAAAATTCTGTGGTTTCAGCCTATTTTCTGCTGCTTTCTCTGTTTTCCTGTATATGATTTAAAATTAAACATCTTGCAGGTTTTAACATTTAATCAGGAAAACGTAAGTTACCCCATGCTCTCACAGTGTTCTCACAGTGTTATTATCATATTATGTTTTATTACTGAAAAAATCAGGCTTTTCTCCAAATTTTCTTGTGATATCCTAGATATTTTTACATAATCGGCCACTAAAAGTCATTGGGATGAAACCATCTGAAAAAGAAGTGTTTGATTTAATTGCTCACGTCTTTCACACAATGTGTGATGAAGACTTACAAGAAGACGCTGCTTTATTTCTAAAAGTTTACAAGCCAACAGGGTTGGAACCACTTGATTAAACAATTATTCTGTTAATCATGAAAAATAATCATTTGATTAATAAAGAGAAAAATCAGTAGGTGACTTTCTTCAAAAGTTATCTGTAACCTTAAACGTGACACCTGTTCCCTTCAGGAAGTCAAGCGCTTATTCAAGAGAAAGGCTTGTTTTGCCAAAATGAATATCAGTCTAAAGGCTGATATAAAGATCTTTGAGGAAACCGCACTCTGTCTGAAATTCCTCTCAATCAGACTGAGTGTCCAGGTTCAGCCCAGTCGTCCACACCCTCCACCCTGAACTGTATCGTCCACATTCATCAGACTGTTCCTCTGCCAACTAGAGAAAGAAATCTCAGCACTGTTCAAACAGTCATGCAGCAGGAGCAACAGTCAGCAGTAGCCAGAACTAATAGAGACATTGGTAGCTGAATGCAGGTTTGATCACAGTCGCTCTTTTGTTCATGGCATGGCCTCTGTCTGATAGGGATCGGCCATGCGAAGTGCAGCTCCGGAGAGGGATATGGTAATGCCTCCACTGGGGTGATAGTCTGAGACCATATGATGGACAGAGGATTAATGAGTCACAGAGCAAGAGGAGCGGGGAAGAGAGGAGTACAGACAGAGGTGGTGGAATGAGCATATCTTTCAGGAAAACACTCGGTACATGAGTCTGCCTCAGTGAAAAAACACACAGATGTGCCAACCGTGCCTCGGAAACTCACCCTTTCAAAAAAGAAGAGCTCTAAACAAACGTGTGTATGTGTAGAACTGTATGAGTGACTGCTAATTTCATGGCATGCTTTTTCAGCCGTCTGCAATGTGGGGAGCTTGTGGCCAGGCTGTGATAGCGATACCTCACATTATCAGCAGGCTCCACAGTGTGATGTGTGGATCACAAACCCAGCCTCCTCTATAGCTCCCTAATTAGAGGTGAGGTAATTGAATCTGACAGAACAAAGCAGCAGATCTCTATAAGCATGAAAATCATTTTTACTCCCACCTATACAGGTTTTCATCCAAAAGGTCCATTGAAAATGTGTCCAAGCTGGCCTGGGGATAAAACGGAGCACCTGAGACTAAACATGAATGCATAATGCGGCCTGAAAATCCAGCAGGGCCACACAGATCAAGCTCTGCCAACTCAGCTCTTCTGTGACTGGGTGATTGTGCCAACAGTGATCCCAGGTCTTTCTCACTTCCAGGTGAGTACACACATCCTCTGCAGAACTCCTCAAACTTCTGCAGGGGCGGAAATGAAGAATACAAGCTTTGTCTTAAGTTGCGAGTAGTTCTACGCTGTGGGCCAGGTAGGCTTAGATGCGCATTCATATGTTTACCCCCAGAGCTGGAGAAAATATATATACTCACTCTTTTACAGCAAAGCATGAAAACATAGAAAACACTGTCATCTCTTCATGCAAAAAGGGCTGGGAGGAGTGAGAGAAGAAAAAGGGGAGAGGAGAAGGTGGAGGGAAGTGAGGAGAGACTCAGAGCCATACTCTCAGCTTAGCTCTAATGACCTTTGGGAAGCAGAAGGCTCCTTCAGTCTTGGAGGAGACTTAGTGTATATGTTATAGGGCTCAAGCCTCTAATTTAATCCTTGATCACTATAATGAAAAAGATACCATTTATGCAACTCTTAATAGCTTAATATGCTACAGGAACCCTCAAAGGAACTTTTCATTTCAAACTTGAAATCTTTCTTCATACTGCATAAATGCCTTTTTCTAAGTTGTACACTGTGATCAAACTAAATGTGGAGCTAATGCTGTGGCACAAATCAAAAGTAAATTGCCATTTGTATATTGTCTGTGAATGGTTGCTTGTGTGTAAGTGTGTGTGTGTGTACTGGGAGGAGCGTGGAACAGCTTCAGTGGAGACTGATGTGTTCTCAGAGCTGCAGTCTGTCACCAAGAATAAGCGATGGTATTGTTTAACTTGATTTTCTGGTTGCTAAGCAAT